CATGGATTTTGGATTTTGGTGCATCTTTCCATTCGTCTCCAAGCAAGGAGTTGTTCCAAAACTTCAAATCTGGAAATTTTGGAAAAATATATCTTGCTGACAATAAAGCCTTAGAGATTGAAGGAAAGGGGGATGTTTGCATAAAGACCACCTCAGGAAACCAGTGGACATTGGAGGATGTCAGATATATTCTTGGGATTAAGAAAAATCTGATCTCGGTTGGTCAGTTGGATAGCACGGGATATGCAACAGAGTTTGGGAAAGGTTCGTGGAAGATCGTGAAAGGTGCTATGGTAGTAGCTCGTGGCACCAAATCTAGAACCTTGTACACCACTGCAGGGTGTATAAACATTGTCGCTGTTGCTGAAGGTGCTTCCGGTTCATGTCTGTGGCACAACAAACTTGGACACATGAGTACTAAAAGAATGAAGATGCTGGTTGCAAAAGGAGCATTAGAGGGTTTGAAGTCTGTTGATATGGGTCTTTGCGAGAGCTGTGTTATGGAAAACAGATTAGAGTAAGCTTCACAAAGACTTTTAGAGAGACAAAGAAAGTGCGGTTGGAAATGGTCCATACAGATGTTTGGGGACCATCTCCAGTATCATCACTTGGAGGATCCAGATTCTATGTTACCTTCATTAATGATTTCAGCAGGAAGGTATGGGTTTACTTCTTGAAGCATAAGTCAGATGTGTTTGCAACTTTCAAGAAGTGGAAAGCTGAAGTTGAGAATCAGACCGGTTTGAAAGTTAAATGCCTAAGGTCTGACAACGGAGGAGAGTATGAAAAATCAGAGTTCAAGGCATTTTGTGCAGCTGAGGGAATTAGATTGATGAAAACAGTTCCTAGTAAGGCAAGGCAGAATGGAATTGCTGAGAGTATGAACAGAACATTGAATGAGCGTGCAAGGAGTATGAGGTTACACTGTGGGCTGCCCAAAACTCTTTGGGCGGATGCTGTGAGCACAGCTGCATACTTGATCAACAGGGGACCGTCAACTCCTTTAGGGTTCAATATTCCGGAGGAGGTGTGGACAGGAAAAGAACTCAAGTACTCACACTTGAGGACTTTTGGTTGCACTGCTTATGTTCCTGTTGATCCAGAAAAGAGAGACAAGCTTGATGTCAAGGCTGTGAAGTGTTACTTCATATGCTATGGTTCTGATTTGTTTGATTACAGGTTTTGGGATGACAGGAACAGAAAGATCCTGAGACATTGTGACGTGACATTTGATGAGTCTGTCCTGTACAAGGACAGAGAGCAGAAGGTTCTAGAGATTACAAAGCAAGTGGGATTTGAGGTTGAGTTGGAGAAGAGTAACCCAGAGATGTCGAAGCAAATACTCAACCAACTCCTACTGAAGAATCTGAAGTGGAGCAAATTACACCTGAGCAGGTGTTAAGGAGATCATCCAGATCCATCAAGGCACCAGATAGGTATTCACCTTCATTACACTATCTATTGCTGACTGATGAGGGGGAACCAGAGTCTTTTGATGAGGCCCTACAGGTGGAGGATTCGATCAAGTGGGAGCAAGCCATGGATGATGAGATGAGGTTACTTGAGAAGAACGACACATGGATGTTGACTGAGTTACCTGTAGGGAAGAGAGCTTTGCTGAACAAGTGGGTGTTTAGAATCAAGACTAAACCAGACGGCAAAAGAAGGTTCAAGGCTCGTTTAGTGGTTAAAGGATATTCACAAAGGAAAGGTATTGATTATGCTGAAATATTCTGTTCTGTTGTGAAGTTAACCTATATTTGAATTCTGTTGAGTGTTGTTGCATCGGAGAATTTGCATCTAGAGCAAATGGATGTAAAAACAACGTTTTTACATGAAGATCAGGACAAAGAGATCTATATGCATCAATCGGAAGGATTTGTGGTTCCAGGCAAGGAACACATGGTGTGCAAGCTCACCAGGAGCTTGTATGGACTAAAGCAATCACCAAGGCAGTGGTACAAGAAGTTTGACTCCTTCATGACCAAGAGTGGATTCTGCAAAGCTGAAAAGGATCCTTGTTGTTACTTCAAGAAATACACTGATTCATATGTCTTTCTACTCTTGTGTGTGGATGATATGTTGATTGCAGGATCTAGTATGAGGGAGATTAACAATCTGAAGACAAGGTTGTCTGCAGCATTTGAGATGAATGATTTGGGTCCAGCAAAACAGATTTTGGGGATGAAGATTTCTCGGGATAGATCTGCTGGCACTTTAAATCTATCTCAGGAGTTGTACATTGAGAAGATGGTGAGCAGATTCAGGGTTAATGATGCTAAACCCAGGACTACTCCATTGGCAAATCACTTTAAATTGTCAAAGGAGCAGTCACCCAAGACTGCCGAGGAGCGTGATCACATGGCACTTGTTCCATATGCTTCAGTAGTTGGTAATTTGATGTATGTTATGGTCTGCACTAGACCTGATATAGCACATGCAGTGGGAGTTGTTAGCAGGTACATGGCGAACCTCAGGAAAGAGCATTGGGAAGCTGTGAAGTGGCTTTTGAGATATCTGAGAGGTACATCCAGTACTTCACTTTGTTTTGGCAAAGGAAAGGTGACTCTGCAGGGTTTTGTGGATGCTGATCTTGGTGGGGATGTTGACTCGAGCAAGAGTACATCCGGGTATATTTACACCATAGGTGGAACAGTAGTGAGTTGGATGTCTAGACTTTAGAAGTGTGTTTCTCTTTCATCTACTGAAGCTGAGTATGTGGCAATAGTTGAAGCTGGGAAAGAGATGATATGGCTGGCAGATTATCTTGAGGAATTGGGCAAGAAGCAGAGCGAGAAGATTCTTTACTTAGATAGCCAGAGTGTCATACAGTTGGTGAAAAATCTAGTCTATCATTCGAAGACAAAGCACATCAGAAGGCGATATCATTTCACTCGCAGGGCAGTGGAGGATGGTGATATGTGCTTGGAGAAGATAGAGGGTGCAAAGAACCCGACAGACATGTTGACGGAATGTGTTGATGTTGGGAAACTAAGGTTATGTAAAACCTCGGTTGGTCTTCTGTAGTTGTTGCTACAGATGTTGCGGTGCGGTAAAGATGTTGATGATGAAGAGATTTTTTTTGAGAATGTATTTTTTTGGATGATTGAGTTAGTCTCCAAGTAGGAGAATTGTTAGGTAGTGGAGCCTGATTAATTTTAGGTTTTCCTATTTATTCTCTATTTTAGGTTTTCCTATTTATTCTCTGTAACAAAAAATACTCTGATTTATTAATATAAATATACCTCACCGTCGTGGAAGTTTACTCACGGGGTGTTACCACGAAATATTGGGTTTTCTCTTTCTCTCTCTAGATCTCTCATCTCTTTCTCTTGAAAGTTCTTGTATTCTTCATTCATCTAGTGTGTGTGCGTGAATTCGATCCTAACATCATTAACAAGGTAAGTTGGTTTTAAATTCAGAAAGAAATCCATCACCTGGATTGTCTCCACCTTTACATTGAATTTTGCATAATAAATGAGAGGCCTAACCATCGCTAGACAATATATAGTAACTAGTTCTATACATCATATTTATGAAGTCCTCCTGGCGGTTAAACCTTGCCTTTCACGTTTTATCTTTATTATTATAGAAAGTTTATATAAGCCTAATTTATGTATAGAAACATGTGTAATATTAACTCAATTGACTTAATATATATATATATATATATATTAAATAAAGCAATATATTAATCTGAATAAGAAAGAGTTAATAATTGATAAATTAAAATTTTCATAAGAAAGTCTAGTGGACTAACATTTTATGTCCAATTTATAAAGGAAGAAACAATGTATGCCGTAATAAAATCATTAGCAACCCAACATAATTCAGAATCAGGCATAATAATAAATTAATAGGTGGTTAAGAAAATCGACATATGACAAATCAATAGAACTTTACCAATCACATTGAAGATGAATTTAGAAGAAGAAAATGAGGGGGAGAACACCAATGAATTTAGTCTAGCATGATTTACTGATATGACTATTTATAAAATCCTCAAAACATACTGTTAGAAGTTGAAAAGAACTTTAAAACATTGACTTGTATGGAAAAATGATAAGTCATTCTAGAGTACTGAAATAAGTGACAGTACCTAAGAAATTAATCCATTTGTATACTCAAATGCATATGAATTGTATTATTGTAATACTTAATATGATATTCTTAATTAATGATAGAATATTTAATAAATTAAATATTTAATAACATTTTAATTTAATATAGGGAAAACCAACAAGTTAACTTTTTCCTAAATTTCTTCCCTTATTATTATTGTTATTATTATTATTATTATGAAAAATTGACTTTTTAAATTCCTCAGGCATTTTGCTATTTGATTTAAAAAAAAAAGTAGATTTCTAGCATCCTATAATATTTATATTTAAAATAAGAAATCCTAGTTGACTCTCGTTCTTCCACATTTTCTTCCTAATAAATAACTTACAAACAAAAAAATAATTAAAATATTATTATTTAATTAATTAAATATTTAATTTAGTCTAGGGGTGAAATGGTAATCCAACTTTTTATCTTTGGAGCTTCCCACTCATAATAATATATAAAAAATAATATAATATGATATAATGTATATTTCTTCGCAACCCAATTTCACAATCTCCTTTTATAATACATTGTTTTGAAATTTTAATTCTAAGCACATCAATTTTTGGCGATCCACTTATACTTTCAACCTCTTCTTCGGTCCACACAACCTTGGGGGGTTTGGGGTATTGAAGAATGAAAAAAAATGTCTAAGAACATAATGACAATACCATATCAACACTTGGAGAAGGCTAGCTGGCGACCGTAATGACAATACGGTGGAAATCAACTAAAAAAATTAGAATTGATTGCTGTCACAGTTCACAACACAACTCAAAACTAAAAAAATACGATGGAAATCATCTGGTCTCTGTGCTACTCTGCATAGTCGTCTTATATTTGATTAAATTGACAACCTCTTGTTAACTTTTTCAAAAAACTCTATCATAACAACTCAAAAAAGATGAAAGGAGTAATATTTAGCTTAAAAAAAGGGGAAAAAAACATGATGGAGCATCAGAATTGGTTAAATTACAAAAAAGCCTCCTTTGGTCCACAAGCTGGAGAATAGGCAGCTGGTTCTATACAAGCAAGAAAATAGAACTGTTGTGTGCACAATAACTTTAGTCGATGGCTTTCTCTTCATTCTTTTCCCGTTTACGTTCTTGCTCGAAACCCATTTGCAGGAACCTACGAACTTCAAATTTTCAGAGACCCCATATTCCATCTAGCCTTACAGAGCCGGTAACTTGCTCAAGAAAGGGGCAGGGGACAATCCCATCATGGGCTGCTTCTTTAATCCCTTTAGCCCTTGCTGTCTCTGCTGGTTCTCTTGCATTGCAGTCACAGAACTACCCTTCACTCTGTCTGAATGATGCTCCACTTTCTGACCCAAAAAGGTACTCTTTTTTTGTTGATAAATTCCGAATTTCATAAAAACCTTTTTGAAGTTGAGTTATTACCTGAGAGTTCTACTCAATGGTTGTGAGTTTAATTATTAGAAAGAGTGGACCTTTCTTTTTGGTTTCTTGAAAATGAGCTTTGTACTGATTATGTATGTTGGATATAAAGTGAAATTGGAATAATGATGGTTTTAACTGTCGGAAAGAATGATATTTTGTTTGGTTTACATTTCTTAGTCTATAGATAAATGAGCAATGCCATTGATATTTTTTCCTCTCTTAAATTGTGTTTATTATCTGAGATAAAAAATCATTTTTTGTGGTTTAACAATTTGGAAATTTGAATTTTATAAAGCATATGTATGAATAATCTGTGTGGATCAGTAGTTTTGTTAAAAAAATGTTTGTAGCAAAAAGGAGGACACTTGTTTCTGTTTCTATGCAAAATGAGTGAGTATGGAAAAGTCATGTTGGAAAATAAGAAAGTTACATGCATTGTGCTAGGATTTTTATGTGTGTTTTAGAGTGTAAGAGGTCTGAGTAATGAAATGAACTTGAATGGAGCGAAATTGCTATAGATGATGCATATAGTTGACCTCAATTGATCAGGGATTGAGTCATTGTTGATTGATTGATTAGTGAAATGCGTGCATGAAGATATAAATCTCTATCCTTTAGATGTGGGGACTTATTGATTTTCTCTTATGTGTTTGGAAGTGGGAAAAATGGTGGCAAAGGTAGCACCGATTATGTCGTGAAAGGTTCTCTTAGGAAAGTTCCACCAGAGCTTATAGAAGAATTGAAGGGAATTTGCCAGGTATTATATTTTAATATTTTTTCTTTGGTGAACTTACTTAATAATACATTTTAAGATTTTGGTCCTTAATTTACTTCCTGAATATAAGGATATACCATGCTTTCTATGTTTAACTAATTTAATCATCTTCACTGCTAACTAAGCCTGTAGCATCATCAGATTACATTTAGCTAAATAGTGGAATTTTTGTATGTAATTTTGTAATTGGTTTGACCTATGTTGAAACAATATGATGTAGGATAAGATGACAATGGATGAAGATGAGAGATATGTTCACGGGAAGCCACAGAACAGCTTTCATAAAGCTGTAAACATTCCTGATGTTGTAGTTTATCCAAGGTCAGATTCATTCTTTGAACCAATTTACTATTCTAATTTCTTTGCTTCTAATGTGGAATATACTTTCAATTCCTTGTTGGCCACTGAGCCACCAAAGCAATTTGGTTCATGTTTTATTAGGCCACAAGTTCTATTGTACATAGGTATCTTGGGCATGATGACATGTATTCTATGTCAAGTGTTCCCTCTCCACAAGTCATTCCAAAATAAAGGACAGAGACAATAGTTGGCCTTGAAAGTTAGGAGAGTTTGTCTTGTGAACTCTCCTAGTCTCAAGATAAACGCCGTTGTTTTTATTTGTTGTACATTCTAAGATATTGTTTAGGTTTCCAATTTGACAGTACTTTTGCTTATTGTTATCTTCTTGGCTACATATCAAATAGCAACATGGATGTCCTTCCACCTTAGCATTTTCAAGTAAATGAAAAGTTTTATTTTTTCACACTCCTATACATTTTAAACGTGATATTTTGCAATTTGAACTCACTTAGAAAATGTGAGAAGTCAAACTATCACATGGTACAGACAAGTAATCAGTGTGCTTTGTATAATCCTTTTAATCTTAATGCAAACAAATTCCATATAAACGTTAGTTTTTTAAGCAAGGTGGAGCTACAGTGATTTTATTTAATTTTTACCATGATTTTACTGTTCATGGTGGAGCTGTTATCTATAAGAAAACATTACGATAAATCATCCTACCTGTTCTCCCTTATGCAGGTCTGAGGAGGAGGTGTCTAAGATAGTTAAGTCTTGTAACATGCATAAGGTCTGAATTCTCTGTTTGAACTCTTCAATTTGTATTTGTTGCATTGAATTTCTGACGGAAGGCAATGAAAAAGCACTCGAGCATTCTCAAATAATTTATTGGTAGATGGAGATGTCTTAACTTTCATGTCCTTTACCTGCTGAAGAGTAACTTGAATTTCTTTCATTTAAATTGCATGGATGCTATGTGGTAAGTTCAGAAATAAATTCTACATTAACAGGTGGATGCCTGGTTGCATTTTTTGGATTTTGTGTTGGTACTGTCTGCATTAGTTATGCTGTATTATTTATGCCGAATTCCATGTGAATAAAACTAAACATGTAAATATGCCTACACAAGAGTATGTAAGTGTAAAAGATGTCCTCTATATTATTGTTAGTTTAGTTAACCATTTCTCTGTAACCTAATATACTAAATCAGTCACTTACTACCTACAAATAACATGACTGTAGCTACTACCAACAAGCTAATGTCATCGCCTAAAAGCAAAATGATCTCTGAGAGAAAAACCTCACAGTGATGCTTCTTGAATAAGCAAATAAGGTTACAACTCAAATACTGACTGCAAGATCTAGACAAACTAAAGAAGTGAAGGTAGCTTCAATTGTTTGAACTTGGTTCTTCAGTTTGATATCTCTCTTGCTCACAGGAATTGCTTCTTTGCTTTGTATTCTCTCAGTGCTCTAAAAGTAACTGTGTATTATGCAAGAAGACAATCTCAAACAATATATAGCACATAGTTAGCAACATGAGTTAAGAACACACATGTATGGAAAATAATATCTCCTAAATCTAGATAATGTATGAAAAAGAAAATATGTCACACACTTTCCATTAATTGTACTCCACTTATGACTCTACTTCCTTACTAACTTGGTCCCGTTAATAAACCGCTTCTACGTCAGGTTCTACAAACCTATGAAATATCTTGCGCGAAAGTGAAGTATTCCTGCAGGAGTAAGTGCGAGGCATTATACAAGAACCAACTAACCTGGCCTGGTCCTTTAGATTGTAACAACCAACCAACTGAGCTTCCATATTTGTTAATCATCAAAACCACAATTCAACTGAATATATGTATAAGTTGTCCATAACCATATGTTCCCTAAGTGAATATTTGTACGAAACCTTGACTACCCAGTTTATATGACTTTATGCTTGTTTGATCCATCTACACCATCCAATCCAATTGAGAATATTGTTGTTGCAGGTTCCCATTGTTCCCTATGGTGGAGCTACCTCTATCGAGGGACACACCTTATCTCCCTATGGTGGTGTTTGCATTGATATGACATTGATGAATGTAAGGGCTAAGGGCTTGTGTATAAAATTTCATTTATATGCCATTCTATTTTTTTTGATTTGGTCACATAATTATATTACTTCAGATGGATGGATCCTAAGCATAATAGACCACATCTAGGATGTGATTTAATATGGTTCTTGATAGTATCTTATCGACCATTTTCACATTATAATAAACAGTTGAGATTATTCATTCAAAATTGTCAGAGAGCAGATTCTACTGAAGATTAAGGGCTTGGCCCTTGCTTTTGCCTTTTGGTGTTTTTTTCTGCAAAAGCCTATTATATTTAATTGAAGATTCCACCTGGCTTCCGAACTAGGTTTGATATCCCAAAATGTTTGAAAACATATATTTGGTTTATTTTTCGAATATGATTGTTAGTGTCCATCAGTAAATAGTCAATGATCCGTAAGAGACTGTTCAAAATTGATGCTTTACAGATGGTGAAATACCAATTAGTTATTGAATTGCTGCAGGAACTGCCCATTTTAATAAAATATAAAAAGAGCTGCAGTAATTTCTCATTTTATAGTCCATGCCTCCACAGGTTGTATAACAGAAGGGTTAAGTGGACTACCAAGGTCAGATTTTGCTGGATACTTTAAGTGGGATTTTGTGATCATTTCTTTTAGTCTTTTCTGAGGTGCTTTGGCCCTTCATGGAGTCTTCTTTGTGCCACCGCGGTTACGGAGTCTTCTTTGTGCCACCGTGGTTCTTATCCCCCCCCCTATTTTTACAAAAATTTCGTCTTTTTCGCCTGGAAATTAACCTATCATATGAGCTCGCAAGAGGAAAAAATTAAACTTGTAAGTTGTGTATATATTAATTTGGTAATTCCAGTCAATTGTGTTCAGTGTGATGATGCAGTTTCAGTTAAATATGGTGTCTGTCTTGGCAATTGCAGTCATGAAAAAATTCATTTTGCAATCATATTCTTGCATTATTCCCTGGTCCTTGCCCCTAGTCCTTACTTTTCTTTGTGAATCTACTTAAAATGTAGCGTGTCAAAGCTTTGCATGTTGAGGACATGGATGTGGTGGTTGAACCAGGCATTGGATGGATGGAGCTCAATGAATACTTGGAGTCGTATGGTCTCTTTTTTCCCCTTGATCCTGGTCAGTCCTGATATATTTCATTGGTTAAAAGCGTTTGTCTCTCTCTCTCTCTCGCTCTCTCTCTCAGAATAAATTCCTTTCTTGGGCTTTATGATGTTCCAAACTTATTGTTTATTTTTTGGGAGTACTGCTGAACAGTCATTAGACATTGAGCATCAGCTAAAAATTGATGTTTTCCATACACATGATTAAGCCATTTAAAAGTTCATTATCATTATATGTAGCTAAGTAGGAAATCATAAAAGCACTTTGACAGTAAAGTGGAAAACTAGGCAATATATATTTTTCCCAGACACATTCTATGCATATATTTCCAGTATTCAATACCGTCCATCCTTTCATATTAGCTTATTAGTTGCCATATAACATGACAATACATGTTCAAAATTGTATCAGTTAAAGTTAGATCAGACTATGATCATCATAAAAAATGTTGGATTCCGACTATGATGTAGTAAATTGATGGAATCTGATTGTAATTGTTTTGATAATTGGAAAACCACTTCCTGTGCTGGTGTAACCAGAAACTTTCCTTGTTAATGTTCAAAATAAATGTCAAAGATATTTCTGTATTATTCTCAAGAAAAAGGAGAGACCAAGGACATGCATTTTTTTTCATTCAACTGTAAGAGAAATGTAGAACAAAAGAATTGAACAATTTTGGAAGTGCAAAACTCTTTCTGATGTTACTTATCATTAAAAAAAAGAATCTCTCTAAAGTGATTTATTAGTTTGTTTGATGGATTCCTGTTTTAAGTTGGTCCAAATAAAAAACAAACATGGGCTAGGGCAACAGTTTTTTTTTTTTGAAACTGGTAATGTTGGGTAAAACATAATGCTGAGCAGATTATATCCTTTCCCTTTTTTTTGTCCTTGCTCCATTGTTAATTTAAAATTTTGTTCACTATTATGTATGAAGTCTCTGCTCATCTGAGGTGATATGTCGTAACTGTACTTATATTTTGAGAAGTGTGAACATGTCATTGTTTCAGGACCTGGGGCAACCATCGGAGGAATGTGTGCTACACGTTGTTCTGGTTCTTTAGCAGTGAGGTAATTGCTCTGAGACTGTTTCCATGGTGTTAATCTGATAATTGTATTTGCTGCTGGAAAATGTTCTTTAGTTATATCCACGTGCCTTCGGAATTTAACTCCCCTCTCTCTCACACACACATTCCCTCTGTCTCTCTTTTCCTATTAAGTGTTGTGGCAAATCTTAAAGCTATACTATGATTAATTAACACATCATGTGGCACCCAAGGGTGTGACCAAGTGGTCAATGAAGTGGATTGAGTACAAGAGGTCTCAGGTTCAAATTCCAGCAAAGACAAAAACACTAGGTGATTCTTCCCATCTGTCCTAACCTTGGTGGATAGAGTTACCTAATATCTAGAGTTACCTAGTATCTGTTGCTTGTTGCTGATGAAAAATATTCCAAGGAATTAGTTGAGGTGCGTGAAAGCTAGCCCCGACGCCATGGTTATAAAAAAAATACATCATGTGACTTTTGTTTCTACGGGCCCACTTGGCCATGTGAGATGAAATCATGATATGAAAAATCATATGAGATGAAGATGAAGTTTTGTTTGGTTATGCAATTTGGATTTTTGAGTTTTTGTTCATAAACATAAAAAACCCATAAATTAGAAAACTATCAAAATTGCTCTAATTTTTATAAAGTTTTACTAAATAAGCAAAAGTTCATAAGAAAAGTATAATACTCTATCACAAAGCTATTCTAAAAAATAATACTTTACTCTAATAAAAAAGTAAAATTAAACACGAGTTGTAGTGTAGTCCTCTTTAATATAATCCTCCCACATAATATGAGAAATCTCATCACATTGAACATACATTTCTCGATCAGATGATCAAGAAGATGAACCAACAATAATGACTATGCGATATGAATAGTCAAAAACACTAGAATTTGGTTGGTAATACTAAATAAAGCAGGCGTTAGTTTGAAAAAATAATAAATTTGGTTGGTGAGAAAAATGGTTATATTCGATGTAAATGGTTTAAAGGTGGTAAGGGTAATAATATCAACTATAAATATTGTTTACATATGAAGTAAAGGGTAGGTACATACAAAATGGTGGTTCTTTGCTTTTATAAAATGTAAACTTATGGGTCAATATTTGTATTTGAAAAATGTGAAATTATGATATGAAATTACCGAATCAAGATTTTTGGAAAATTTGGGATTTCATCTCATGAGTTCAAAATTGAATGTCTAAATGCCGATTTCATCTCTCGATACTTGTTTCTATTTAAGCATTTATAAGAGGGTAGAGGTGTTGAAGACACTTCGAGGTGACCATTGCTAGTTCACATCTATGCCCAATGTGCATGTTAGCGTGCAACTTGGGCGCATGGCGGCATACATGACTAATCTGTGCAACCCAATTGTAGTGGAGCTGATCACTCTATGTTTAATCAACATTCTGCACCAAAAGTGTATTTATTTGGTGGTATACGTTGATTATATCGTTATCACGAGCAATGATCAAGTTAGTAAACAAATCTCTTTTAACATTTCCATACTAAAGACCTCAGTGAATTAAAGTATTCAAGATGTACTTGGATTTTCTTAATGAAGCGAGCAACTTGGGTAGTTTGATGATTATTAAAGATGTACTTGAATTTCTTAATGAAAGATCATTCTAAGTTATTTTCTCTATTCAATTTTTTTTGTGTTGAAATGCCTTGGAATATTTATTATCCCAGTTTTTGGAGTTTATGACTTACCAAGGACTTGTCGGTACACCCCTTAGCTGCCTTAGAATATTTATCCTCCCAAGTTTCAGGAGTTTATGACTTACCAAGAACTTATTGACCATACATTTTGTCGGTACACCCCTCAACAAAATAAGGAAGCAATAAGGAAATACAGACATCTGATTAAGACTACTCACTCTGCTCATTAAATCAAATGCTCCGCTGCATTTTTAGGGTGATGCAGTCGTCACATCTTGCTATTTAATTAATAGAATGCCCTCATCTTCCATTCAAAATTAGATTCATACTCCATGTTGTTTCCTGGGTCACATCTCTACTTTATCCCCCTTCGTGTTGGTGCGAGCATTGTTTTGTTCATAACTCATCACCAGGAAGATATATTAACCCCTTGGGCTCTCAAATGTGTTTTTCTTGGTTAATCTCGAGTTCAAAAAGAGTATCATTGCTATATACCTAATCTTCATCAATACCTTATGTCAGTCTATATCACATTCTTCGAATCTCAACCTAACTATACATCTTCTGATCATGCTGATAACTCTGAGGCCTTACCCATATCTTAGGTTCTACCTATACCAACCTTTTTGAGGAATATACTGTCAATTCTACATCTCCATCTGCATTGCCACCAATCCTGACTTATCATCGTGTTCACGTCCAACATTAAGCCTAGATGATTCATGTCATGTACTGGACCTTGCTTCCACAACAAATTTGCCTCCACCAAGACAATCGCTTACACTTCAAAAACTTATATGATCCGCTAGTAATACTAAAACCCATTATACTTTCTTGAGTTATCATTGTCTATCATCACCTCCTTATGCCTTTGTATCATATGTGTCCTTTATTTCCATCCCTAAGATTGCAGGTGAAACAATTTTTTCATCCAAGATAGAGGCAAACTATGATTGATGATTTACATATGAGTGGTACTTGGGAGCTTGTTTCCGTTCTTGTAGGTAAATATATTGTTGGTTGTCGTTGGGTTTACGCAGTCAAAGTTGGTCTACACAGTCAAATTGATCGGCTTAAGGCTTGCCTTGTTGCTAAAGGGTATACTATGTTATTTGGGTTGGATTACTGTTATATTTTCTCTCTTGTAGCTAAAAAATACCATTTGACCATCTAATTTTATTTATGGTTGCCGTTCGCCATTGACCTCTTCATTATATAGACATTAAGAATACTTTTTTGCACGGTGATGTTGATTAAGAAGTCTATATGGAAGAGTCACCTAGTGTTGTTGCTCGGGGGGTGTGGGGTAGTAGCCTCGTACAGTTGTAAGTTGACTGCAAAAGTCACTCTATGGTCCGAAATAGTCTCCTCGAGCCTGGTATGAGAAGATCAACACACTATTCAGGAGTTTCGGTTATGATCAAGTTGATATCACTAATTTGAAACATCTCTTTTAACATTTTTAGACTATAGACCTTGGTAAATTATGGTGTTTTCTAGTTATTGAGGTTGCTTAGTTCAAATCAAGTATTGTAATTTCTCAACACAAGTATACTGTAGACATTCTTCACGAAACAAAAATGATGAGATGTAGACCTATTGACACTCTTATGGATCCAAATTGTAAACTCCTGCTAGGACAAAGGTAGTCATTCAGTGATTTGACAAAGTATAGGCAGTTGGTAATAAAGTTGAATTATCTCATGGTGACTAGACCTAACATCTCTTTTCTTATGAGTGTTGTAAGTCAATTTATAACTTTTCTTGTGATAGTTATTGGGATGTAGTTAATATTCCGTGGTATATAAAATCACCTCCAAGTAAAGGACTACTATTCAAGGATCGAGGCCATGATCAATGCCGTTGGATATACAACTATTGATTAGGTGGGGTCACCCGCTGATAGGCGCTGTACATTTGGATATTGTGTTTTAATAAGAGGTAATTTAGTGTCCTAAAAGAGTAAAAAATAGAGTGTGGTTGCTCGTCTAGTGAAGAAGCAAAATATCGAGTAATGTGTCACGACCCGAGCCACACCCTAGACGTGGCCGACATTTGAGAATCATTGCTGGCCCTCAAGCGAACCCTCGACTGACAAGCGGAAGACTAACTCGAGCATACATAAGCATCAAATTGAAAGAAACTTTCAAAAACAATTAAGAATGCTTCAAGTCTTAGTTTTAGAAATTTTCGGGGAGTGTTACACAATGGCTAGAGAAACTTGTGAGCTAGTTTTGCTGAGAGAACTAAAATTTGGAGAAATTGGTCCCCGATGGAACTTGTGTGTTATAATCAAGTGACACTTCATATCGCATCAAATCCAGTATTTCATGAGAGGACTTAGCACATTGAGAATGACTATTTTTTGGTCAGGAGATATTGTTACAAAATTCATGAAGTCAAGGGATCTACTGCTAGATATTTTCACCAAGGCCCTCACCGGTTCTCGTGTCAATTACATCTATAACGAGCTCGGTACATATGATTTGTAAGCACCCGCTTGAGGGGGAATGTTAGAATAACAGTAGGAATTGGAACATGAATGATATATAGAATCCTTCTTGAAAAATAATTGTAATATAGTGTCTATAAATAGGGTCTTAGTGTAACAATGTAGATACACAATTCCATAATATTTTTCTCCTATATTTCTCACATACACGGATGGGACAAATGTGTCATGGCTGTGGCATTTAGTCCAACTATTAACGAGTGACATGGATAGAGCATTTTTGATAGTTCAATGCCTTATTTGAGCTTTTTCCCTTTGACTATACTTGTTGATGGTTCATCTGCAGTGACCTCAATAAGAAAATGCAAGAGGAGGAAGTTGTTTATGCTTGTTGACAGTTCATGAAAAATTATATCTCAATTTGGAGCAAAAAATACTGAGTGTGATCTGATCAATATTTGATTTACAATTATCTTGATCCTGTCAATCTTAGATTTATTACTCTCTGGCTTGTTTCCAACTAAGAGTTCTTTCTCTTAGCATGTAGGTATGGTACAATGCGCGATAATGTTATCAACCTCAAGGTTTGTAATGTTGACACCGAGAACTTGTATAGATGGGACATCCAGTTTCTAAATTAAGTTTCTCTTGCAGGTTGTTCTAGCTGATGGAGAAGTTATGAAGACTGCATCCCGTGCCAGGAAAAGTGCTGCTGGGTGCGTTTGCTTGTATTAGTCTCAAAGTTTCGTAACTTAAACTCTTTTTCCTTTTCATTCTGACGATTTGATCTTGCTTTTAGTACCCTAAATGAAGAATGAAAATAGGCAATTGGGTTTTCAGCAAGTATGCTAACCGGAAGCACATGCATCTTCTCTTTAATGATAGTGCTGTTTGTTTTCATTGTTTTCCCCTTGTTTCTCTTGGTAATTTATCAAACAAGAATTCCACTAATTTTGACGAGTAAGGTCGGTTGAAGGAGTTGGCCTCCAGTCAACTCAGATAGAGATGGAATTTGAACTCCAAAAAGTCGCACGTTATGAATTTTGAAAGTAAATTCACCGAGATTCTGCATGTAGGGAAGCAAGCTGTGTGTAAGAGCCGAGGTATTTGGTTGCATTGAAAGCTAATAACATGGGAGACAAATTTTGGAGTTCTTCATCAGTTGTGAGGGGCCGGGGAGAAGGGAGGGGGAGAAATTGAGAATAGGGAGAAGGGAGGGGGAGAAATTGAAAATATTTTTTATGATGTTTTAAGATAATTTCATGAAATGCTAGGAGAACATTTTTAATACAAGTATAATGAAATCCCAATATAAAATCTCATTTTAAAGAAATTAATCCCAATATAAAATATTGCATAAGATAGATACCCATTTTATGTTATGCAGAAATTTACTTTTTATTTTATACACGATAGAATGTGGAATAATGAAACGTGCTCTAGCTATGAGGGGATAAAAATATTTAAAGACAAAATTTCCTTGTAAAGTAAGTGATTCATGTATCTTTTCGTTGTTAATCACCATATAACAATTCTGTCATTATTTATCATGCATAAACAGTTGGTGCATTATGATCCCACATAGCTAGTAAGCAATCAAATGACCCCATTGATTTTGTATTAATGTATAGAAGGGTCTACTATATTACTAGTATTAAAATGTTTTGATATGATATTTGAATTAGTCGTCTGGTATGAGTGGGTTGAAAGGAGGACGAACTTCAAGAGAAATGATAGTGAGCATGGAAACTATTCAATGGCTTTGTTAGATACTACACAAAGGTTTTAAGAGACGTGGAGACTCAGTTAATATTTACATAGTATATCATAAAATTATTGAGGAGGAACACATGTGGTCATGGAGGCCCTTTGCTGGGCAAGTAGTTTTAGATATTATTAGGCAACAGGCTAATAATAAAGCACCCGAACCTGGTGGATATACCATATGGTTCTTTCAATCATGCTCACATATAATTAATGAAGACAATTAATTAAATAAATATGTACTCTCTTTCAGAGCTTGACCTCATAGATGAGTGGATCACACAATTTCAATATGGTGTCAGTGTCAAGACCATCAAATTGCATTTCTCCATGTTGGGTCTCCATGTTATGTTATTGATACTCTGTTTGAGTTGCTCAGTTTTGGGCGTGTGGAAGGGGGATATTAAGTTCCACCTATTAAGGGAATATGTTGTGGTCTTTGTTTTTTTTGGTCTTGGGTGATACTTCCTACGATCTAGCTTGTGGGATTGATTTAGTCCTAGTGTTCGTTTCTTCTCAACTATCAAGAATGATGTCATGAAAGCAATGGACCTATGTTACAGACGAGATTTGAAAAAGAAGTTTCCATTATACATAATCGAAAAAGAAGATAAAAGACAAAAGGCAAGTCTTTACAGCATATGAAAATGAAGTGTTTAGTTTCGTTTTGTTTTTGTTGTAAGCAGAACTTTGGCAATGATGTCAAAGCAGTGATACATCTTATTGAATCCCTTCAGAAAAGATTTACTTTTGGTTTTGATATGTAAAATTTATGGCTGTACCTCCTTGTGATATATTAATGATGAGTTATCATTTCTGAAAAAAATAAATCATTCTGCAACGTCTAATGTAAGCTACATAAGGTTTTTGTATTCCCTCACTTCCATTTATTTGTTCATATATTCTCTGTTCTTCATTCGGAAGAAATGTGATGACCATCAGTATGATTAGACATTTTTGGACTGATCATTTGAATGTTTCTTACCTTAATTTGCGGTTATTTTCTTTCTCAGTTACAAAACAATTCTTTCTTTTAGTTTTAATAGCAGTTTCCGATTTTGTACATTAAGAAACTGTCCAGGTTGCATTTTTAAAAGTGTGAAACTGCCTGTTGCAGATACGATTTGACACGGCTGCTGATTGGAAGTGAAGGCACTTTGGGTGTTATAACTGAAGTTACCTTGCGCTTGCAGAAACTTCCACAATCCTCAGTGGTATTCACTAGTTTTCCTTTTCCTTGACAGACATGCTTTAGTGTAATATTCAACTCTGTTTTATTTCACGTACTTGGTCAATTTTACATGGGAAAAGAAATGCTGTTCTCTGGTCTTCTGAACAAATGGTAAATGTTAAATATGAAATCTTCTTATTCATGATAATTATATTGTCACGTCAAAATTACCCCCTAGACGTGATTCGCACCCAGCACACAACACTGGCCAGGTATTTCCCTACCTTCATCAATTTACAATATTTAATAAATTAAGTAAGTATTTCAAATAATATGATAATTAATTACGAACAATAAGCATCTCAAATCATTAATCTAAAACTCTTCCTGAAATTCCACACTGTGGATCATCTAAGAGAATTACAGAAGACTGGTATATAAATCCCAAGAATTATCAAAGTCTCAATACCTTTCACTAGAGGGAAGACTAACTCTATAAATTCTGTGCTTGATGCACTTCCAACATATATGATGTCATTATTTCCTGTCCCAACAGGAATCATCAATAGGTTGGTTGGATAGCATCCAGAGAAAATTTGTGGCAAGGGAACAAGGAAAGAAAAGGGTATCACTTAGTCAAATGGAAAACTGGGATCACTGAAAAGAGAGTTGAGGGACTTGGGATCAAGAACATGAAGAATCAGAGCAATGCTTTGAGGACGAAGTGGCTTTGGAAGTACTCAAATGATAATCAGATTCTCTGGGGCTCAATCATAAATCCAAAATATGAAGAGAGTGTAGTTAGATGACACAGGAAGTTACCACTCCTTATGGTGTTAGCTTATGGAAATCTGTTGGAGATCTTCGGAATGAATTCAAGCCAAACATCAAGATTGATGGCATAAAAACTAGACTCTGGAAGGATGATCAGCACGCAGAAGGAAATCTTCCCTGACATCCACAATTTAGCTCTTCAGCAACAGTGTACTATAGCTGACTTATGGACTCCTCAAGGGTAGAATTTTGTATTCAGAAGACACCTTAATGACTGGGGAAATTCCAAGAGTAACATAATCTTTTAGAAGCATTGATCAGTTTAGTGGTCTGGAAACAGGGCAGGACAGGATGCAGTGGTTGGGAAACAGTAAAGGGGATTTATAAAGTAGGTGCATCATACAGGAAGCTGAACCATCAAAATCTGCAGTTACTCTAATGGCCTTTGAGACATATATGGAAAGCTAAGATTCCCTACTAGGTGTCTTGCTTTGTGTGGTTACTAACTAAAAAAGTTGTGTTGACACAAGAGAATTTACTAAAGAGGGTAATTCCACTTTCTCTAGATCTTTTTCTATGGGAAAACTGTGGGAACAGGCAATCATTTGTCCATCCAATGCGAAGTCACAGGCTAGTTGTGGAATTTTTTCCCGAGACTTAAAAACTATTAAGAATTCCAACATCTAAAAAGGGATGGAAATTTGGTCTCCTTGTATGGACTTATAAGCTTACCTTTGGGTTGTGTTAGGTCCAAGATTCATGTTTACATGGTTTCAGAGCCAAACCCATCCTAATTCTTTGTTCATCGATGTTGGACGCTCCAACTAACGAGGTCTGGGCGTGCGGGGGAGCGTTATGAATTCCCACATAGGAAAAGCGATGAGGATTTGGTCTCCATATATGGAGTTGGACTTGGGAACCTATCACATTACCACTAGACAAGAAATTGATTGGTTGCAAATGGGTCTTCAACACCACCACCACCACCACCAACATACCTAGTAAAAATTAAAATCTCACTAAGTGGAATCTAGGGAGGGTAGAGTGTACACAAACCTTACTACCACCTCATGAAGGTCACAAATGGGTCTTCACTTGAACATAAAGCTAAAGGCTCCATTGAAAGCTTCAAAGCAAGATTGGTGGCGAATGAATTCACTCAAACATATGGAGTGGATTATCAAGAAACATTTGCTCCTGTTGTGAAAATAAACGCTACTAGATTTCTTTTGTCTTGTGCAGCTAATCTTGACGGGTACTTACAAAGGCTTGATGTGAATAAATGAAGAGTGTATATGGAGGTTCCTTCTGGTTTTGGTATTGACTAAAGTTAAGGAAAGGCATGCAAACTAAAGAAAGGCTTGTGCATATCGAAGCAATCTCCTAGAGCTTGATTTGACAAATTTAGTAAAGCAATGATCTCCCTTGGTAATTAACAAAATAATGATGATCATACCCTCTTCATGGGACATCAAAAGGGTAAATTCACTGTTCTCGTAGTTTGCATTGATGACATAGTAATGAAAAATATGGCAAAGAGGAGATGGCCCAATGAAGTTAATGGAACAATAATTTGAGATTAAGGATCTAGGAGACTGCACTACTTCTTGGGAATTGAGGTTACTAGATTAAAAAGAGGAAACTTTATTTCTCAATGGAAGTTTTTTGAAAGAAAAAAGCATGATAAATTGTGTGACACTCCCCAACTTAGGTATGCAATTGCACCTAGTGCCACAATTGACTCTAAGCCGAGCGTTGCTCGACAACTGCACCACCAATGTAATAACATCCCTTAAATTAAAAAAACAAACAAGTACATCTCGACTTAAAAATAAGCCCTCGGCCAACAAGGCCCCTGTCAACACACCCAGTAATCAACTCAGCTAATTTCAACAATTCATATAGATAGACACTAAATCATGTCTGGGTCATCGAAGCCACTATCATGTCTATAATGAAGCAATGTTTTGCAGGCGGTCGAGGTCACCATGATATTTTAGAAACATATAAACTGAACAAATAAAAATATATGAGCAAGGCCATTACACCACTGGGTTAGAAGAACAAAACAGCAAGCCGCCTAGCACAACTGACATCTCACATCTATGCAGCCCAAAGTTTGCAAGCCTCTACGAGTATTTTATTTGGCAGAATAGGGTATCATATGAACATGACAAAACTCTAGCAAACCTCATATCTGGCTACTTCAGAAGAAGGGAAGCTGGTCTATCTACTAGAACTCGGTTACACTATTGAGGACACCTGTGTACCTGTCTATCAAGACATCTAGGCAAGAATGTAGCGCCCCAAGGCACTGTGGTATCCATACTAAATAATGGATGAAGGAAATAAAATAACTGAGCAAGTCTCATAATATACCGAAATCAATAAGGTAAGGAAGTCAAGAATAAGATGAGTGTACTAACCTTCTCCTAAGCATATAAATATAATCAAACAACAACTTAACTGAGCTCCCATTAGCTCGATAGGTACAAACAGGACCACCTACCTGAGCCCCTATATGCTCGGAAGGTGCCAATTTAGTCTATACACAGCTACCATTAAACCCCTAGCCCCTTAAGGTAGTTATTACACCTCAATAGGTTCTTAGACACTTTATACATAGCCCCGAAGACAATCAATACCTTCTAATAGCACCATAGGAATCTTGTAGCCCTCTTTGGCATCAGTATTGCCCCGTTGGTAGCACATAGCTCTCTTAGGCATCAACATAGTCCTCTCAAGCATCTATGTAGCTCTGTAGGTAGCGCATAGCCCTCTTAACCATCAATATATCATCGTAGGCAACATATAGTCCCGTAGGCAAATGTTTTGTTTCTCCAGCTAATCTCAAAGTGCTTCGAGGGAAACAATTAACAATCAAATATCCTGAAGGCAAGCAATGTGGTTATAAGTAACTTATACTCATCACGCCTTACCTAAACATGGGGTCGCGCATAGCAGAATATATATCTCAATGAGGAATTCTATATCAACCATGATGGCTAACTTAGTCAAATAAGGCAATGTGTAACTTGGCGACAACAACTAGTCATATCTTTTCTAAGACTTACTGTATCTTGAGAATACTTGGGGCCCTACATATGTATCTTTTGCGTTTTGGGATCATATAGTTGTAACTAAGCCTTGTAGGCTTTTATAATTGTATTTGAGCCTTCTGGGCTCCTATATCTGCACCTCGAGCACACCAGGCCCTACTAATGGTCAAAATTGTCAATTTAGACATAAATGAAGTCATAAATGAGTAGACTTCAATATAGCTCTATAGTATTCATCACGGTCTTTCTTGATATTTTATAGCTCTTATAAGCAAAGTATATCTCCATAGGAAAGCTAAGCTTGACAAAGTCCCTTGTAGGCAACAACAAAGTCTTGGCCTGAAATACTAACAACTGGCGAGTCAAACAATCTTCTTATTTGTCAGCAAGTAAGGTGACTTTCTAAGCAACTTACACAACAATTTGTTTGTCACGTTGAAGTATAAAGGTCTCTAACAAATAAGTGGAACACCTAGCAGCTCACCACTATAATTCAGTAGGCAGCCACAAAGCTATTACCATAAGGTAAAATTACAACTCTATTTTTTAGCTATATAAGCGTCATGATATGCCAAAGTCCTATAGGAGAGCTATGTAGTTTATAGGCATTGCAATAACATAACTTTATGCCAAACTAATTGCTATGCTGCCAATATCAATGTGAAAAGCTACAGAGCTAATTACAAAGCCCTTGAGGCATGGCTAGGCAACAAACTATCAATAGCCAACTAATCAATGACAACTTATATGAGAAGATTCTTGCGATGCTTTTAACATGAGGTAGCAGCTAAACAAGACAAATTGTAAAACGGGAAACCCAACTGTATGCATATACATATATCTAACTCCAACAACCAATTCAGTCAACAATTATTATGGCTTTGAATACTATAAATAATTAATTACAAAAACCAAGTTATATTACCTATACGAGGAGGAAACGAGGAAATTTGGCAAAAAGGTTTAGCCTTAACATACCTTTTCCCATCGAATTCACACCACAATCATACTTCTTCCTGGCCCCTACGATTGTACAACATGGGATAATCTTAGTTAACAAATAACGATATGAATTAGTTAGAAAGACTGACAATCAATACAAGTTTCCACTATAAAATACTACCCGAGGTGTAAAGTAGCTAAAAACCAATAAAAAACGCTCGTACCTCGACATACACCCTCGAAACAACACCATTAACACCCTATAGAGCCATTATTCCGCTACCACAACACCCCGAAGATATATCAGGATATTCAGAGAGACAATTATACCAAAACGACAAGCTTGTGAATGGAGCAATTTCTGTTAAAGTCTTAAGCCAAGATCATAAGCATATGAGGTTGATTTGGGATGTAATTTACTGGTTTTTGTACAAAAATTATGAGAAAAGAAGAACGGTTATATAATTACAACCGACCTAGGGGGCCCACTGGCCACATATTTTTTAGAGTATCTCTATTCTGGAGTTGTATGGACGAAAGATATAATGCTTTGGAAAGTAGACTCATAGACCTTCAATTTTATAGGTTATTGGCCCTCTGACTCTTTATGTTTTGGGAAAAAGCTTTTGAGACATTTAACCCATATTTCTGAAAGATTATGAAAGTAGCTTGCAATAACTTTTGCCGACCATTATTTTATAACTTGCTTTAATTTAAACTTAAATTATGACTATTGAACAATCCGAATGTCTTACCACATTCTTGTTAACTTATTATCATCCTTAGACTTTCCATGAAGGTATGGGTTAATTTAAGCATTCCAAAGGGAGGGAGGGGTGTTACAGGTTGCAAGCCAGCATTTTCAGCCATTGAAATCAATCAGAAACTCTAAAGCAGAGTTGGAAAGACAGTTGATAAAGAGAGATATCAGAGGTTGGTTGGAAGACTCATATATCTCTCACTCTAGATTAGACATAGCCTATTTAATCATACCGTGAGTGGTTTCACGCATTATCCGGGAGATCCTCATGTGCAAGCTGTCTTTCACATTTTCTGGTATCTGAAGTCCGCTCCAGGGAAAGGTCTACTTTTCTCTCGACATGGTCACCTCCAAATAAAAGCCCTTACTTACGCGTAGTTGAGCTGGATCTTTAGAAAATCTACATCCGGTTACTCTACACTCATAGAAGGAAATCTGGTCACTTGGAGAAGCAAGAAGCAAAGTGTAGTTGCTAGATCAAGCGCGAGGCATAATATAGAACTTAGACCCAAGATGTTTGTGAAATATCGTGGTTATGAAAGCTAAAGAATTTAGATTGTCCGAAAAAGGGAAACTTTCCTTGTATTGTGACAACAAGGTTTGCAACCAGTATAGCTCATAATCAAGGTCAACATGACCAAACAAAGCATGTTGACATTGATAGACTCTTCATCAAAGAAAACATTATGCGTAGTGTCTTGAGTTTATTCCATATATCATCAAAAAAGTAGCTAGCTGATGTTTACCAAAGGGCTCAACAGATGGACTTTTCATAGTCCATACTCTAGTTTGCAAGTTGGGCATGTGTGACACATTTGTACCAACTTGAGGGGGAGTGTTGATTGATATTGGTTTCCTAGCATAATTGTAGGAGAAAATTGTTAGAGACTGATTGTAGATTGATATAGTATTAATTGAAATTGATTAGTTAATATTCTTTCATTATTTAGTCAGAGAACTTATAAGTACCCATTCTCATTATATGTAAAATCATCCACAAATACAAAGAATACTCTCTTCTCTTGAGATCTTCAATTACATATGCCCCGATGCTGTTGAGACATAAAAGAACTTGATAAGATACACACTGCCCTGTTCCTATGGAGCCTTGCAAGAATTTGAAGTTCTTGTGGTGTCAGGCTTCTCAGAGAAACTAGGCCTCATTGGTGTGATCTCTCAATAATAAATTTTTTGAAGTTATTGCTTTTGATCTATTTAATGTCTCTCAGAAATTGATGCAATAAATTTTTTCATATGACATCGTGTATCTTCATTAAATTAGAAGCTTGATCATATATTTCATGTTTGTCTTGCTATTAGGCTGGTCTATGTACCCCCATTATAGAGAGAGTTCTGCTTTCTTATATTGTCCTGTAAAAGCTTTTTATTGAACTCTTCTTTTACATGATATTGGCACAGGTTGCTATGTGCAACTTTCCTACAATTAAAGATGCAGCAGATGTTGCTATAGCCACAATGCATTCTGGTATACAGGTTAGAACTCAATAGCTAATATGTATTAGAATTATGATAATTAAATTACATGATGTTTGTTGGACCAGTCTCCTAATGTATATTCATGATAATGTTCTGTGTATGGCGTTAAGTGCATTAACATCTTTGCAATTTATTGCATGTAAATATAATTATGCCTAGTTTAATTAATATGAGTGAAATACAAGCGAACTAAATTTGTATGGATTTTTCGTGTAAAATTTCTAGAGAAAAGAAAGAGATAGTTATGCACAGATGCTGTCATAAAAAAACGATAGTTGTGCACGATGGGCAATGTTTGTTGATTGTCGACAAGTACAAGCAAAATGCAGAGTAGATTAATGTCTTGATAATTCTATACTGGATGCTATGCCTAACTGCATTATGTCGGTATTTCCAATACCTATTGTTAGAGTGGGTAAAAGTCTAACATTGGTCGGGGAATGGATTTATAATCTCTTTATATAGACTTGGGCAATTCTCCCCTTATGAGCTAGATTTTGGGTTGAGTTAGGCTAGGTGCTATATTTTCACATGGTATTAGAGCTAGATTCATCCCCCTTTAGACTCATGGTCCACGCCCCAGTTGGGCCTGGACGTGAAGGGGGGTGTTAGAGTGAGCAAAAGTTCCACATTGGTTGGGGAATGGACTGGTGCTCTCCTTTTATGGACTTGTGCAATCCTCCCCTCATAAGCCAACTTTTGGGGTTGAGTTAGGCACATGTGCCATATTTTCACACCTGTAAATGTATTGGAGAGAATAGATGTTGTATGAAAGACTTTTTGTGGGAAGGAAGCTGTGACAACAAAAATGTTCATTTTGTTAAATGGAGCTCCCTTACAACTAGTAAGGAGGAGGGGGACTGGGAATCAAGAAGTTGGTATTCATAATCAAAGTTCAATGATGAAGTGGTTATGGAGATTTGGTGCAGAAGAATAATCATTATGGAAGTAGGTTATTAGGGAGAAGTATGACATGGAAGGAAAATGGACAACCAAAACTGTAAATGGTCCTTATGGAGTCAGTCGTTGAAAGTCAACTGAGAACTTATGGCCTTAGTTTATGAATAACTCAAGGTTCAGTGTGGGAAGTGGCATGAAGATGTCCTTTGGGAGGATAATTGGTTTGGCCAAGGAAATGGCATGAAGATTGTCACACCTCGAGCTACCCCCGAGACGCGGACACGAAACTTAGAATCACAAGTGATCCCAAGCTAACCTTGCTGGCATAATCATGAGCATACTAAAGATAATAAACTGATGCGGAAGCTAAATCAAAACTTGTTATGAAAAGATGGAGAATACCATATGCTAAAATTGATATATATGAAAACTAATGAGTCTAATACAATGAAAATATTAACTCAATACTAAGCTGAATCTTACTATGTCTGAAAATAGCCTCTAAACTGGACTAGAAATATTAGGACAAGCCCCAGCTAAATCTAGCAAAAACTGAAATTAAATGACTAAAGACTGAAATGAAACTCATGATTGTTGTCCTCGGAGAATGAGGACTCACCACTGAGTCTGTTGTACTGGAGATCGGAAATCAATCTATGCGTGATTTGGATACTGAGAAAAACATAACTGAACAAGCATAAAAGCAAGTATAATAATCTGACATGATAAATTGAATTTTGAGCTAACTGGATGTGATGACAAATTTATAACATGCTGAAACTGGATACTGGATATACTGATAAATGGTTAATGCAGAGAGTCTGACTGATCTGTGGGAGCTACTAATAATCGATGATAAAACCACATGATCTAAATGTGGAGTCCGATGTATACGCCCCATAGGGAGGACCCAATATACCCTGCCAGAGGTATAAAGGCATGCTGGCGTGATCACTAAACTGATTGCCCACAGAGGGGACTTACAACCTACTTGGCTCGTAGTTCTGGGACTATTTGGGTACGCTGAACCCTAGTCCAACTCGGTATTATGCTACACCCATGAATTCTGTAAATTTACTAATTATGTCTGAGTTTCTGTAAATACTGGATAGCTCAAGCCTGAACATGCAAACTGAGAATGCAATAATTATTCTGGTAATTATGCATTTATAACTGAGACATGTATATCTGAAGTGTCTGAAATATTTGACCTAGCATGTGTAATTCAAGAACAAAAGAAATACAAAGCTAGGGCTCTGAAATTCATGCTATAATCTGAGTAATAACATGATAATCTGATTGGGAATATATATTTAATAAATTCATGAAGTTCTATAAAAGTTCTAGAAACCCTAGGTCTAAGCATGATATGAGAATCAAGAATCTGACTGAAAGCCAGGGACCCAATGGGTGAAAGGAACCCACTAGTGAAATTCCACATACCTGGTGATGAAATCCACATAAAAATACTTAAGTTTTGGGGCGGGAACTGCTGGAGCTTGTGGCGTTCTTGAACTAGGGTTCTTGAGCTTTTTCTCCTCTCTTGCTTCTAATTTTCTAGGTTTTGATTTAATGATTTGTTTTGGATATGTTTTAATTATGTTTCTAGGCTTAAACTAATTAAAATCTGATGATTTAGGGTCAAAACGACGTAACTTAGGGTTTAAACGAAGTGGGAAAGGTCAAAAAGACCCCTGGGAAAGTTGCTGTCGGGCCAAACGACGGCCAGGACTGACGGTCCGTCGTCTGCCCAACGCATTGTCGTTGGGTCCGTCGTCAGGGCCAGTTCGACATGCCTTTACTAAAATGGGCATAACGTTTTACTCGGAGGTCAAATTTTAGCAAGGTCGGTGGCTATAAAAACTAATTTCAGTTATCTATTTGTGGGTAGGTCATGGGACACCTAATCCATTTTGTGCTAAGAGTTATGCCCATTTGAAGTTGACCCAACTGCATTTCCCCTTAACTTGTCTGCAAATTTTCCATCTACGGTTAGACCTACGGACCGTGCTGGTCATCCGTAGCTCTTGTCAAAGAGTGGTTGAATGGGGGACTCGATCGATGTCACGGACTATGGACCGTTGTCTGACCTACAGACCGTCAGTCCGTCTGTCGATCAAGACTTAGCCAATTTTTCCCGGCTGAATTTTTGGAAGTTTCTGATCCCATCGATGGTTGTGCAGGACGGACCGTCGATGCAACCGTTGGTTGCACCTGCAAATTTTTCTGAAAAAAACTGATTTTTGGTCTATTTTGGCTACGGGTGTTACAAAGATATCCTTTTGGGAGGATAATTGGTTTGGTCAAGGACCTCTGAAATAACTTTTTCCATACATTCATAATGGCTCAAATGAAGTGTTATCAAAGGCGAAATGCGCAAAAAAGTTCTTAAGGTTTGTGGGGGCTTTAAGCGCAAAGTGCAAATAAAGCGTGGGATTTAATGAAAAAGGCACAAAGGGAGAAAAAAATACAAATATATATGTTTAGTCCATGACTAAAAATTATATACATGCATGACCAATTTATGTCCAAAGAAATTGAAAAAAATTTATGATAAAGTGAAATATTAGTTGTCACTTCTTAGTATGAGCCTCATTAGAAGTGAAAAGTTTGTCTTAGAACCTTGATGACGACACTGAAGCGCACATAAAAGCGAGGCGAAACGCTCAACATGTTTTGAGCCTCGCTTCAGGGCTTAAGCGCGCTTAAAGCGCGCCTTTGATAACTCAGGGCTCAATTACGAGAAGCAACAATAGGAGAGGTATGGAATAATCAAGGATGGAACTTTATCTTCAGAAGATAATAATTGAGAGATAGACCGACCAACAGAGTTTTAACAATGAAGAAGGCTTCAATTTTGTTGACTGTATGACTTGGCAAGGGAATAAGCAAGGAGAGTTCTGTTAAATCAATTTATAAGGAATTCAACCTTTCAAACACAACCATATTACATGCTAGTTATGAAGTTGATTCGGAAAGTTAAAATTCCTTCTAAAGTTGCCTGCTTTACATGGATATTGGAAAAGAGGCAGTTCTGACACTGGATAATCTAACTAAAAGAGGGTAACAACTATTCTAGATGCAACTTGTATGAAGAAGAGGCAGAGGCAAATGAAAATTAAGCATCTCTTCTAGCACCATAAATTGACTCTGCAGTTATTGAAAATCTTCAACTTAAGGGGTATTATGTGGGCTATGCTAAGAAGAATACTTGAAGTTCTAGCATGTTGGAATAGAGAAGGTAATTGGATTAGAAATAGAGATGGAAGATTGTCCCAGGTTGCATTTGGTTAGACAATTTTGGAAGTGAAAAATCTAAGATGCCTTGAAGATAAATCCTGTCATATTCAGAAGAGAAAAATGATGTGTTAGTTCTTTTCTATTTGTGGTGTAAGGGAAAGTATTAGACGATCGTGAATCTATTGTGATGTTTTAGAATCCTTGTCAGAGGACAAAGGATCAAGTGTTTTCTTCTGCATCCTCTGTAATTGTGGGTGACTCCACAAATTTTGTGTAGTCTAGATATAAATATACAAATATATTACCTTTAGAAACAAAAAAGGGGTATGTTTTCTATGAGCCTTCTATAATCTAGGCACAGAAGGTGTATTTTCTTTCATGCCACTAGGGTCTGAGGATACTATTAGTAGTAGATATAAACTAGGTTCATGCATAAGGGCCTTTATTTGGTCATGTTAGTTGTGAAGTATAGAAGCATGTATATCAACTGAGTAGCATAACCTATGTTGAGATACTTTGATCCAAATAGATAGACCTTCCAAGGCAAAGGTAAGGTGCAATATCTTTTTTTCTTAAGGAGTAGAGGCTTAAGGGACATATTTCTTTGGGTCTGCTAATGGGGTAATTCTTTTTGAAAATAGTAATGTTGTATTCCTCAATATTAAGGAAATGTTGTATCACGCCCCGAGCATAGACCCGACATGTAGCTAGCCCTCGGAAACCTTTGTTGGGCCTTAAGTGAATCCTTGACGTGACTGACGACGTAGCGAAAGACTAAACACATGCATAAGAAGCTGAAATTTTAATGAACTTTAACAAAACGACTAAATCTCATAAACTGTCTGACGATACTGACTTTAAATATAAATGATAGAATAAATCAAATGTCTGATTAGGAAACTGAAATAATCTTTCTAACTCTGTCTATTCATGTAGCCTTTACTGTTTGAAGGTGTTTGGACAAGACCCACGATTACCTTAAATCATACTACCAAAACAATAAGACTTGGAGTCTTCCGAAAACAAGGAGGTCTCACCAAAAGCTGACGAACGGATGATCTCAACGGAACACCCATTGATGATCGTGATACCTCTATCTGCATCATGAAATGATGTAGCGTTGAATGACTTAAGTACATGAAATGTACAATATGTAATAAAGACTAATGAAACAAGTAGCTGAACGGAATGAAAGACAGAAAATAACTAACTGAAGTAAACCATGAACATGAAGTTTCAAAACACTAAAATGAAATACTTTACATTTATTGGGCAGTTTCTCTAATAGACAACCATCACTATGGGCATCTTGATGATACAACGTCTTGCTCACATTGCCGCCCTATACCTTGACGGAGCATATAGGTAATAACCTAATTATACTCTTGTATAAGATGTCCCTAATTATTGTCTGTGTGTAAGAACTTCTGTTCATTCACATCTCAAAAGGATACCAAATAAGTTAATGCTTTTTGAATCTTTATTTTCTTTTCATTCATTCATATGTATGCATGAACTGATAATTTCACTTGGTGAGTTTGTGTACGTGTTCATTTTCTATTGCTTAGTAATGAGGGGCTCTCAATTTACCTGTTGAAAAATTCAAAGCAGAAACCATAATTTTCCAAAGTAATTACTTTTTTCCAATGCACATTAGGTGTCAAGAGTGGAGCTCTTGGATGAAGTTCAAATTAGAGCAATCAATCTTGCAAATGATAAAAAATTGCCAGAGATTCCAACTTTGATGTTTGAATTTGTAGGCACAGGTAAAGATATTTTGTGGTTTGAATCAATGCAATTAATTTTCTTATGTTGTGACATTATGGTTGTTGCATCCTTACCTAGAACTTTTAATTTAAGTTGTACAAAATGACATGTTAAGTTGCTTTAAAATGGCTCAGAATGTGCTCTATCTGATGCCTCAATTGGTGAGAAAATTCATTACAATTCAATCAAGTTTCTTCACAAATGCAACTTTACAAGTTTTAGGAACTACAATTGGACCAAATATGCCCTTATAGTATGCATGTAGGTTCAAATATGTCCTCGATTAAATTCTGTGTGAATAAGGGCATTTTGGCCCAATAAAGTAGTGACAGGCATAATTGGGCCAAACTATTAACGGAGGGAAAATATGGTGAATTTCACATACTTTAAGGGCAATTAGATACCCTTTACTATTTTCTCTTTATACTTCATAAATGAGAATTTGCTTGCATCTATAGTTCTATTGATTATTTTGATAATGACTAGCGGCCGTCGGGTTTATATTTTGATAATGACTAACGGCCGTCTGGTTTTCACATCCTTAAGTCCAAATTACTCCTACTTGTTTGGCTAGGCAACCAAATCAATGAATTTCTATTTCAAATCCAAGTCCAAATGATGATAGTCATGCTTTTAGCACATGTATAATGATGCACCGGGAGGTGTCAGTTACTAGCCCTTTTATTCAGTTTTGTTTTGGCCATGATGATTGAAGCTCCCTTGTCAAACCATTTATCTCCTCTCTCTCTCTCCAGCATGGTCTTTGAGATATCTCTTTCAGTTGAACTCGGACAGTGTTTCCCTGTTTTCTCACTCGTATGCTCTCTTCCATTTCCATTCCACGCTTTCCTCCACTGCTCGTCTCCTCCTCCACTCTATCTCTCTCTTAGAATAACACTTGCCTTTCTGTCTACAATACTATCTTTAGTTTCCTAAAGCCAGATTTATGTACTAATGAGACTAATAGTTGATACAAAAAGCTTTAACATGTATGTTGCCTTTATTTTTCATTTACCATGTGTTTTTTGAAAAATACATTTACTACAGTATGGAGATTTTATTTTGATGGAGATTTGCTTAACAATTTCTAGGTACTCACTAATCATACCCTTCATTCAGACAAGTGATTTGAAATTCAGTTTTGTACAATTTGAAGTTTGTTGATTTATAATTCCGGTTGAACAAGTTCGTTGTACCGTTTCTGTAATGTGACAGATTGGTTTGAATAGATGACCATTATAGGTGAAAAATCAAGCCCCTTTCCTAGAATAGTAAGTGAGAAGAACAATTCAGATAGCTTAGAATATAGGAGTGCATATGGATTAACTGTAGTTCTGACAAAAAGTTCCTTTCAGTAGATTAGGATGATTGCCTTATTCTGTCTTTAGATGGGGTAGGGATTATAGCTCAGCTGCAGAGTGTTGAGCTTCCATCTGACCCTTTTCATGCGTGCTTCATAAGCTACTACGATATGCACTCTGAGAACACTTCATTGAACTTAAATGATGTTTTTCTTGGGGGCATGGTGTTTTGTCTAGGGAAGGGATATAGTCAATACTAACTATACAGAGGCCATATTGTTTAACTGTATATATCCTCACTTCTGTGCTGTTATCTATCAGAGGCATATGCACGTGAGCAAACACAAATTGTTCAGAAGATAGCTTCTGAGCACTATGGTTCTGATTTTGTTTTCGCTGAAGATCCTGAAGAGAAAAAGGAACTCTGGAAGGTACTCTATAATCCTAGTTCTGTTTGTTCAATATTATATTTTCTTGATTATGTTTCTATTCAATATTTCTTCATAAAACTGCCGTTTTTCTTTAGGCTTTAGTTCTGTTTATTTTTATAACCGAGAAATCCGTATGTGATCCGCGGCCCTTTGGACCAATCACGACCTTCTAAACTCGGTGGATAATGGGTCCGCCCCTCTACCCTTCTCCATTTAAATACCGGGCTTCACTTTGCATGGTGTGGGGCTTGAACCTGCGACCTAAGTCACAAATCCTCCACCTTTTGCCACTCAAGCTAGGCCTTGGGGGCAAACCCTTCAGGCTTTAGTTCTGTCTATCTAGATCCTATAAAATAAGGGAGTAGTAATGATATATCAAGTTTATTGACCATTGTAGCTAACAGTGGTAACTTCTATGAAAATCCTAGTCCTCGAGTGCCAAAAATTGAGATAAGTATAGAAACCTTTTCAGATTACTGGTCTCATGCTATGTTGCATAAAAGAAAATATACTAGCACAAGGAAAGCTTGTTTACTACTTAAGCAACTAAATGATTTTAGTATAATTTTCTCATCATAGGAAATGGAAAAAGGGACAACTATACCCATCAACTTAGCGATTTAGAGCGAACATACCCCTCGTTAAAGTAGTGGTGCATATATATATCTCAGTTATCTAACAAATGGTGCATATTTATCCTTTTCATTAACAGACCTTTATTTACTGAATCAACAAAAAAAAATATATCCTAAAACAGGTTTTAAATACTAAAAATGTCACGTGCTTCAAAACATTACATCACCCATTTTTTCCCCCTCCAGACCCAACTCAAATAAAGGAAAAAACCCCATCCCTCTTCTACTCAATCATAAAATGGGTTTGAGTCGGGTCTGAATAAGAGAGGTTCAGTTTCATTTTAGTTGGGTTGGGTCTGGACTGGGTCTAGAGTGGAAAAGAAAACGAGTTAGGTAATTTTTGAAGTTGCATGACATTTTTTAAATTAAAAAATTAGTTTTAGAATTTTTAAAATTCAATCTGTTAATGTAAAGGGTAAATATGCTCCCTTTGTTGAATGGCGAGGGTATATATACACCACTTTCTTATTTAGGGGTGTATCCACTCTAAATCACATAGTTGAGGGGTATATTTCCCCTTTTCCCTAATAAGAAAAAGTTTTCCAACTTCTAGCTGGTAAGATGGGAACTTTTAAACAATGACAAGGCTTCTCGTAGATTGAACATGCAAATTCTGCAGCAAAATAGCCAAGTGATTGCATACTTATCGGTAATTGCAGTTCTTAAATCTTTCCTATATGTTTTTCAGCACCAAAATGGTACCATGAAATGAGGAGGGAAATATATACTACTCAATACAACTGTACTACTGTAATTTTCTAGTTCAATTATTGAAAATGAGAAAAAAAATGAATTAGGAAATAGGGAAGATAATATTGACAAAAATAGATAAGGGAATGTAAATTAGGAAAGATAGAATGCCTTAATTGATTTTCTTCTACAATTGTAATTTTCTAGTTTCGTGATGGGAAGGTGAATAGGTATTTCCCTTATACTCGGTGCGACTCATTTATGTCGTTATGAATTATGAGTTCCCCACAATAGCTTCATGTGACATGATAATCTCACCCCTTCGGTATTTTGAATAAAGAGGAGCAACATTTTTGATTGATCACCCTTTTTCCAGAACAAGAAAAGATGCACTTTGAGTAGTAGTTATATGTTCTTCTCTGTTGCAAGAAACTGTAATATGCAAGTTTCTGCAAAGGAAGGCGTTCATTCTTTTAATAGGAGTCTTTGAGAACTGTAGTTAGACAATTGCTTAATTTCATTTGATACATTTTTACTGCAGCATATTCTTCAAAATAAGGTATGCCTGGTGTCAGTTCTTGATAGATACAATTATGATCATATCTGTCGAAAAATTGTAAGAAGTACCTTTTTTGAGCTCAGTCTTACTCTTGAAAGTCTTTCTTCATTTGGCTGCCATCAGCATGATCAGAACTCCAATTCCTACGTAAACACCTCATGACCAGAAACATTGAAACAGCTGAACCAAAATTGACTTTTGAAATATTTGTTCCAATATAAAAAGTATCCTATTGCTTATTGTGATTTCACATCTTATTCATTAGATGTTTATCCCTAAATGTGAGGAGAAACTTCTTTAAAATGCAACCATCATCTCGTCCATGCTGAGAAATTTCCCTTCAAATCCCATTTGACTTGGATTTTATGTTATGGAGCTCATAGCAACTAAGTGACTTCAGTGAAAATGTGATTCCATGTGGTATAGAAGCCAACTTTTGAATAGTTAGTAACTGGTCCTTCTACGATATTTGCTAATCGAGTGGCTTCTTATCTGTGTAGATAAGAAAGGAAGCACTTTGGGCATGCTTTGCAATGAAACCTAAGTTCGAGGCAATGATAACGGTTTGTTTCTACTGTTAAATTAGACTAAAATATTCTCCATCTACATTATTTATGTGTTTGAATTTGCCTTCTTACTTTCATTTGTTAAGTGTGTCTTATTCATATGTAGGTATTTAAATTAAGATTTTTTTGTTTTCCCCCCAAATCCCTCATCTCTGCCCAAAAATGAGGGGAAGAAGACAAGTATTGCTGAATATAGGACAACTAGGAGCTTGGTGTTGTTGCTACCTCTAGATTCGCTTTTAAGAATCATATTGAGAAAAAAAAAACCGATCATTGAATTGATTAACCTGAGATGAGAAATCTATCATGTCCGAGTTCTACGATTCGGGTTCAGAGCGGAATTGATACTCACCCTTTAGTAATTGAGCTAATTTTAGATGACATTTTATAATTAGATATTTTTGGAAGCCCTGAGAGCTTTGGTCTAGTAGTAAGAGCACATCGCATGATGTTTGGGTTAGGCGCACGTCATGGGTTCGAACGCAGGTCCAAACAAAAGCTTGGTATTTAAGTGGAGAGAGGTATTGGTTGGGGCCAGAGGTGGGGGGTGTATTACCACCTAGTTTAACACTGTGTACTGGCCTCAGATTTCTCAGTAATCAAATGATAAAAAATATATGTTCCTGAAATCGGGAAAAAATCCTAGAAAAGAACTAGGATGGCGTCTTGGGGCCTATAAATATTTGGAAAAGCATTCTGCCATAGTATTTCAGGGCGTGCCTATAATTCTGTTGCAGAGCACCAGAACCTCCATTCTCTTGGAACATATTGGTCCATTGGTCGTTCTGCATCCATGTTTCTGGAGCTTATTGGTCTTTATTGCTTTGAGTGCTGGGCCGATAATTAAACACCGGATTAGAGTGATGGAAGTTGGTTCTTGTACATGATTATTTGGACTGAAAAGGAGCTCCTTGAACCATGCTAGGGTGCTGCAAATGGATATTGATTTTAGCAATAAGTAACTGAGGGTAAAACTAGCATTCTGTTATGTTGTTTCTTTCACTTAAACCCCAACCTAGAAACACTTAAAAATCGGACATGATATATTATTTCTCATTTCTGCAAATATTCTTCTTTTTGTTCCAGTTAAATTCCCAACTCATAAGCATTATTAATAAGGTTTTTCTCATTTATGCGAAGATTTTAATATCTATATGCTTCTTAACCTGTTAACATTTTCTTTTTTTTGTTTTATTTCATTTTAATGAGCACACTTAGTTTTGTTACAGGACGTGTGTGTACCCTTGTCACATCTTGCTGAACTAATTTCAAGATCAAAACAGGAGCTGGATGCTTCTCCTTTAACGTGGTATGTTTTGTATGCACACAATTATTGTACTCAATGCATTGGGCACTATTAACCTTACGAATATGAGTTTGTATAATATATAATGCTCATTGCCTCTCTTTTTTTAACAGCACCGTCATTGCTCATGCTGGTGATGGAAATTTCCACGTAGTAGTTCTATTTGATCCTACCAAAGAGGAACAACGAAGAGAAGCTGAGAGGTTAAACCACTTCATGGTCCATACCGCGTTATCAATGGAAGGTAAAAGTTGCATTTTTCTGGGACTTAGTGATCCTCCTTTTTCGTCGACAATTTCCATGTAACACCTTGTCAAAGAAAATGGAAATATAAAAATAAAGAATATAGTCTAGCTTCATTTAGGCTATGATGTTTCAGCAGGAAAGGTCAGATATACCCATCAACTATTTTCTTTTGCTTAAACTAGTCACCCGTTATACTATTTGGCTATATGAGCCCTTACCGTCAAACAAAGTTTCATATCAAACCCTAACTTGACGGACTGGACATGTGGATTGATAAAAGCTCCAATTTGTCCAATTTTTTAGGGCATAGGCGGCCGCATGCAGAACAATTCACAACTTTAAAGGCCGGGGTCAAACCACCAAGGATTTTCTTCAATTGATTTCACAACTCAAAACATACTAGCAAATTGAATTCTCAACACTCATATATAAAATAGGGGCGGGGTTAGTAACAACTAAAATTCACCAATATCAAGTAACAAACGGGAAATCAACGCAAATATGATCTACCAAGTTTGGAAAAGACTAGAGGATATTTCTAGTATTTTAGAGTTCTTTTGACCTCCATAGGAGTTCTTTTCCTTTAGCAACTTTTGGATGTAAGTATTACTAGAATACTCCTTGTGAGTTCTTTTGTTTATAATACAAGTTACATTTCTCAAGAAGTTTTGAAAAGTCTAGTGGTGTGTGCATAACGATTAGGGTTTCAACTCAAATAGGCAAAGATTAATCACAATCAAATTGATTGATACATGGATAACATTTGGTCTAGGCTACATTCGATATTCTCTCGGACTATCAAACATCTGTTCCTTGGATTCTCTCAAGCTCCAAGACCTTTTTTTAAAACACCAAACATTGTTTTAGTAGATAGACTATCCCTAGCTCCTATCATTAAATGGAAAATTACTCGGATATCCCATCCCGAGCTCAAATCCATGGAGTAATTTCAACAAGTCCTTGTTTTTGAGTCTTATCCAACTCCGTTTTGCCTTCTCAAGCCAAAACAGTGTTAAAGAGCTAATCAATGTTTACAACCACTGATTTTTAGATTAAAACTTCAAGACAATCATAGATCCATTCCATAAAATCAATCTGAGTCGATTAATCAAATACTCATTTGGGGTTTTACACCCTCGTCTAGCGCATACATACCCCTAGTTAAGGACTTAGCTGCTCATAAAAGCTAATGTGATTCACAAAATCTAAATCACAAGCTCAGAGTGATATAACTTTGAAGTTTTTTCCCCTACTAGCTAAAAGAAGTTCTTCATTATTCGCTATGAATATCCAACAAAGAAGTCTCCCCTTATCCCAAACTGGAAAGACGATAAAAGTACATAATTAAACAAATCCCTATTCTATCTGTGAGAAATATTGGAGAAAATATTATTGAATTGCGTGTCTAAATTGTTACATGAAGACCCTATTTATAGACACTACATTGGAAACCTTTTCCAACTAGAATTCCTATTCTAAGTAAGAAATACTTATTCCTATTCTAACACTCCCTCTCAAGCTGGTGCATACAAATCATATGCACCTAGCTTGTTACAAATGTAATTAATACGAGGACATGAGAGACTTGGTGAACATATCTGCAAGCTGATCATTTGACTTCGCAAATTTTGTAACAATATCTCGTGAGAGTATCTTTTCTCTGACAAAGTGACAGTCTATCTCAATGTGCTTAGTCCTTTCATGATACACTGGATTTGATGCGATATGAAGAGCCGCTTGATTATCACACATAAGTTTCATCTGATCAATTTTGCCAAATTTTAGTTCTCCCAGTGACTGTTTGAGCCAAACTAACTCACAAGTTACTGTCGCCATTGCTCGATATTCTGATTCTGCACTAGATCGAGCAACCTCATTTTGTTTCTTACACTTCCACAACACCAAATTACCTCCAACTAAAACACAATATCCGAATGTCGAACGTCTGTCAGAGGGTGATCCTGTCCAATCAGCGTCTGTATATCCAATGATATGGTCATGACCTTGATCCTCAAAGAGTAGTCCTTTGTCGGGGGCTGACTTTATATATCGAAGACTACGAACAACTACTTCCCAATGACTATCACAAGGGGAAGTCATAAACTGACTTACAACACTCACGGGAAAAGAGATGTCTGGTCTAGTCACTGTGAGATAATTCAACTTATCAACAAGTTGTCTATACCTTTCAGGATTACTAAGTGGCTCCCCCTGTCCCGGAAGAAGTTTAACATTCGGATCCATCGGAGTGTCAATAGGTCTACATCCCATCATTATTGTCTCCTCAAGTATGTCTAAGGCATACTTGCGTTGAGAGATAACAATGCCTGATCTAGACTGAGCAACCTCAATACCTAGAAAATACTTCAATTTGCCAAGGTCTTTAGTCTGAAAGTGCTTAAAAATATGTTGCTTTAAATCGGTCATACCATCTTGATTATTACCGGTGATAACAACATCATCAACATAAACAGCCAAATAGATACATCGACCTGGTGCAGAATGTCGATAAAACACAGAGTGATCAGCTCCACTACGAGTCATGCCGAACTCTTGAATTACTATGCTGAATTTCCTAAACCAAGCTCGAGGAGACTGTTTCAGACCATAGAGTGACCTACACAATCGACATACAAGGCTACTAGACTCCCCTAGAGCAACAAAACTAGGTGGTTGCTCCATATAGACTTCTTCCTCAAGATCACCATGCAGAACAACATTCTTTATGTCCAACTGATAAAGAGACCAATGACGAACGACAGCCATAGATGGAAAAAGACGAACAAATGCTATTTTAGACACAGGAGCGAAAGTGTCACTATAATCTAGCCCAAATATCTGAGTATACCCTTTGGCGACAAGGTGAACCTTAAGTCGATCAACCTAACCATCTGGACCAATTTTGACTGCATAAATCCAACGACAACCAACAGTATATCAACTTGCAGGAAGGAAGACAAGCTCCCAAGTACCACTCTTATGTAAAGCAGACATCTCACCAACCATAGCCTGCCTCCATCCAGAATGAGAAAGTGCTTCACCTGTAGTCTTAGGAATGGAAACAGAGGACAAAGACGACACAAAGGCATAATGGGGTGATGATAGACGATGATAACTTAAGAAGGTATAATACGGGTTAGTATTTCGAGTAGATTGTATACCTTTTTGAAGTGCAAGCGGTGGGCTAGGTAGAGGCAAGTCCGTAGTAGGAGCAGGGTCTGGCGCATGACATGAATCATCTGGGACTAGGGTTGGACATGGACGGCGATGATAACTTAGTAGTGGTGGCACTGCAACTGGAGATGTAGACATAACTGTAGATCCATCAAAGGTTGGCACTGGTAAAACTTGAGGTATGGGTAAGACCATAGAGACATCAGTATGATCAGAAGATGTATAGTAAGGCTGAGACTCAAAAAATGTAACATCAGCGAACATAACGTAACGATGAAGATCATGTGAATAACAACGATACCCTTTTTGAAGTCTAGAGTAACCTAGAAAGACACATTTGAGGGCACGAGGGGGTAATTTATCTTTCCATGGGGCTAAATTATGAACAAAGCATGTGCTCCCAAAGACACAAGGAGGAATAGGATAGAGATGTGATTGAGGAGACAATATGGAATGTGGAACTTGATTCTGAATAGACGAAGAGGGCGTTCTGTTAATTAAATAACAAGCTTAAAGGACTACATCACCCCAACAACGCAGCGGAACATGGGATTCAATGAGGAGAGTGCGAGTTGTCTCTATGAGATGCCTATTCTTTCTTTCTGCGACATTATTTTGTTGAGGAGTGTATGGACAAGATGTTTGGTGAATGATTTCGTGGTAAGACATAAATTGCTGAAATTGGGATAATAAGTATTCTAAGGCATTAGCACTACGGAAAGTACGAATAGAAACACCAAACTGATTTTGTATTTCAACATAGAAACTTTTGAAAATAGAAAATAACTCAGAACGATCTTTCATTAAAAAAAAACCTGAGTACATCTTGAATAATCATCAATGAAACAAACAAAATAACGAAATTCTAAGGTGGAACTGACTCTACTAGGACCCCAAATATCAGAATGAACTAATGAAAAATAGCCTCTGAACGACCCTCAGTACTACGAGAAAACGTAGCACGAGTGTGTTTCCCAAGTTGACACGACTCACAATCTAATGTAGATAAACTAGACAAACTAGGCACCATCTTTTGCAGTTTGGATAGACTCGGATGTCCCAGACGTTTGTGAATTAGATCTGGGAATCTGTAACGGAGCATGCTGTGAAGGAATTTGAAGAGGTAAGATAGTAAAGGCCTTGTGATTCATTTCTTGTTCCAATAATCTGTCATGTACTGCGGTCTTGTATGAGAAAAAAATCATCGAAAAAGGTTATGCTACAATGTAGGGATTCCGTCAAACGACTAACAGATGCTAGATTAAAAGGAGAACCAGGAACATAAAGAACAGAGTCTAGGGTGACAGAAGATAGGGGTTTGGCGTTTCCAACCCCTTTTGGTTTTGTCTGGATCCCATTGGCTTAAGTAATAGCTGGAAGAGATTGCGAATAAACAGCATCGGATAAAAGTGATTTGTTACCAGAAATAGGATCAGAAGCCCCAGAGTCCACGAACCATGTTCCAACAGTACTAGATTGCGACACACAAGCAAAAGAATTACCCTTGACAGACACATCAGGTTGTGCAACTGAAACTACTTGTGGAGACGTTTGCTTATTTGCACGATACTGAAGGAACTCATCATATTCTATATGAGCAATATGAACATTATTGGATGGTTGATTAGGTTAAGCACCATATGCTACTGGTGGAGATGACTGTTTACTTGCGCGATTTCGAAGGAACTCATTATATTCCTTTAGAACAAGAGGATCATAACTGGGTGGTGGACCGTGCAAAATATGAAATGTGTCACGAGTGTGTCCAGACTTATGACAATGACTACACTTGGATCGAGGTTTCCCAAAACGTCTTCCCCCTCT